GCATCACAATTGTACCATTTAAAGGTAACATTTCAATGACTCCCAAGTATTTTTGAATAAATAAATAGAGCGTCGTATTAACCCTTTGCACTCGAGAGGTGACTCTCAGTCACTTGATTTGATGTAGTAAAACTAAAAAATTTGATATTCAACATTGAACCATGTATAATGCATTGACGTGTGAAATATTGGGATAAAAAAACATTGTTTCTCAATTCACTTGCGATTTCTCTTTGAGTTAATTTTAAAAAATGTCGCCTGTGTCCAGTTAGAAAATGTTAATTATTTCTAACGAAATACTTCCGAGTGCAAAGGGTTAATCTGTAATTGAATGAACGTCGACGTGAACCTCAAAGAAACCAAGAGCACTTCAAAGGGTTAATGTTTAGTTTCGAATTATTTTAACAAAGGTAACTATTGGTAGCTATAAGTAAATTAAACCGAAATCCGTGAGTGATGAGTCACTTTGAATTGGTGTTATCTCCTGTGTTTACCCAGATATTTGACGTATCAACGTGATAAGATTAAAGTTGATTAATACTGAATTGCTCTATAGTATCCTATTGTTTGCCCTGCTTCTCCAAATTTTATTTGATAATGTGTCCGTGCCAAGGAAGTTCGATCATTAGTCACTTCTTCGAGGCACGGCTCCGTCTTATCGTTAAGTCACTCGTCCATGGGGTTTCCGTATGGATATTACATTCGACTAACGACGCAGCACCGGGACACTGAGAAATGGTACTGTTATCCGTGTTCAACCGACTATCGTTTCGCCGGATACGATCCAGTGCCAGGGGGTTGAACCCTCCGCATTATACACAGGGTGTCCCGGGAGATCTTGTTGCGGCTTTCAGAACGCGTCGTTTCGAAGAGCGAGCAACAAGTACGAGGAAACTTTTTTCGCGTTGCACCGTTCGCAAACATTTGTTGAACTATTCAAGGCTTTCAAACAAACAGAGAATATGAAACAACGTATTTACCTTTTGGTTCTCCTTTGAAATACTAAAGAGAAGAGACTCTTAGAATTTAATGCATGT